GTGTGTGTGTGTGTGTGTGTGTGTGTGTGTGTGTGTGTGTGTGTGTGCCTGCGCAGGATGACCTGGTGGCTCTCAGGAGAGTGGTGAAGTCTTTCTTGGCCGTGTGCCAGCAGTGCCTGTCAAACGTCAACACACCGGTCAAAGAACAGGTAACAACACACACCTGTGTGAGCTGCTCACACCGTCACACGTCATCACTGACGATTTTAATGTTTACAAATATGTGCATTGTTGTCAGAATGTTTTTTTTGGATTCTGGAGAACAGAACCAGTTAAAGACCAGAAACAGTGTTCATTACAAATTCGACCCGGTTGTTAGTGTGTGATATGTTATGGCCGAGGAGAGGAGAGAAGGTAGATAGTCAGATCTACAGGTAGACATGTTTCTGTTGACCCATAAAGAAATGAATTTTTACTTTCTCTTGTAGATGAACAGGTAACACTTCTCCATCAGATCATAACTCCTCATTTGTGGCTCTTCTTCAGGCGTTCATGCTTCTCTGCGACCTGCTGATGATCTTCAGTCACCAGCTGGCTTCCGGCGGCAGGGAAGGCCTCCAGCCGCTGGTCTTCAACCCGGACACCACTCTGCAGAAGGAGCTGCTCACCTTCGTCCTGGACCACGTCTTCATCGACCAGGACGACGAGAATCAGAGCATGGGTGAGAACTTCTTGCTCTGTTTTGGGTCTCCGAGCACATTGTTTTAGGATTAAGATAGGAACAAGATGATCATAAATATAATCAACACAATGCCCCTATATATTTTATATTATACTTTTCCACTTTTCTCCCCCTATTCCTCTTCCTCCTCCTCATTTCTCTGTCCGTCTACCTGCAGAGGGAGACGAGGAAGACGAGGCCAACAAGATCGAGGCGCTCCACAAAAGGAGAAACCTGCTCGCTGCTTTCTGCAAACTCATAATCTACGACATCGTAGACATGCCCGCTGCTGCCGACATCTTCAAACACTACATGAAGGTGACTGTTCCTCTGTACTCGTGTACAATATTGACATCATCAACATAAAATAAAGAGGCGACAGGAAACTGATACAGATTTAGAAGTCAGCAGGTGATGTGGTTAAAATAAGATGATGAGAAAACTTAAAACTGAATCTAAAGAGGTGATTTAAATGATAACGATCTTTATTCTTGAGTCTAGATTACAGAACAGATTTCATCACAATTTCTGACTAAACTGTCTTCTTTCTCTGTCTCAGTATTATAATGATTATGGCGACATCATCAAGGAGACTCTGAGTAAAACCAGACAGGCGGACAAGATTCTTTGTGCCAAGACGCTCATCCTCAGTCTGCAGCAGGTGAGACATGAACGAAGACAACATTACAAGCCACATACACGGCTCCCTGGCTTGAAATAGTGCATTCTTTTTAAGTTGTGAGAGCCCTCGTGTGTATGTGCGCACACAAACACTTTTGTCAACGTGTGTGTTTCCAGCTGTTCAACGAGCTGCTGCTGGACCAGGGGCCCAACCTGGACCGGACATCGTCTCACGTCAGCGGCATCAAGGAGCTGGCCCGCCGCTTCGCCCTCACCTTCGGCCTGGACCAGATCAAGACCAGAGAGGCTGTCGCCACGCTGCACAAGTAAGATCACATCCAGAGTATCACATACAATTCAGTGCGTACATGTCCGGATGTATATTACGTTGACAAGATTTCTGAGAAGTGAGCTTACTGCACACTCAGCTGCCCCACAATGCAGTGCGTCTAGTTTCTCTTTTGATGTCACCTTTGGTGTCTCTGAATCTCACTTTGTGTTGCTTTCCATTCATTTATTTTCTCTCTCTCTCTCCCTCCCTCTCTCTCTCCCCCCCCCCCCCTCCCCCCCCCCTCTTGTATCAGGGATGGAATCGAGTTTGCGTTTAAGTACCAGAATCCTCGAGGAGCAGAGTTTCCTCCCATCAACCTGGCCTTCCTGGAGGTTCTGAGTGAATTTTCTTCCAAACTAATCCGCCAAGACAAGAAAACGGTGTAAGTACTCCCTGCTATGGTTTTTAAACTCTCTTTTAATTTAAAAATGAGTGAATTATGCTAAAAAGGCCGCATGTCTCCTCAGCCACTCGTACCTGGAGAAGTTCATGTCGGAGTCGATGTCGGAGCGTCGGGAGGATGTGTGGCTGCCGCTGATCTCCTACAGGAACAGCCTGATGACGGGAGGAGACGAGGACCACATGTCCGTCACGTCGGGCTCCAGCAGCAAGGCCGGCTCGGTCCGCAGCAAGAAGGGACGACTGCCGATACACAAGAAGCGCATCGAGGGTGAGGATACGGGAGCACAAATAGAGTTCTTCCGGTTTTATTCGGGTTGGCTGCCCTGAGGCTGTTGTGGGAAGTGAGACATGTTGATGGTTGTCTGCCGTTGTGTGACCGATACTGAGTGTGTGTGTGTTCATTCTCAGAAGAGAGCAGTGTTGAGAGCTCGTGGTTGTTGCGTAACGACACTCTTCAGACACCGGGAGCTCTGCAGACTCCTCAGCTCACCTCAACAGTTCTCCGAGAGAACCGACCGGCAGAACACATGCCCGACCCGGACTCAGAACCCGGATCAGAGAACGACTTCGTACACAAGTGAGTATAGAAATGGGGGAAATTCCGAGGTGCTGATCCGTATCATTCCTTAGGGCCCATTCTCCGCCTAACACATTGTTGGAGGTCCCGCTGTCTCTCCCACGGGCCCCCACATGTTTTGGCCCCTGATGTTGATCCTCTGCTTGTCTTCAGTCCTCAGATGCAGATGTCGTGGCTCGGCCAGCAGAAGATGGAGGAGGTGAACAGGAAGGACCGGACGGGGATGAACTACATCAAGGCGCGCAGCAACCAGGGCGTGCGGCAGACTGTGTAAGTGTATTTAAAGCTTTCAAAGGGGACGACGCTGGCTGATGCTCGGCTTCGTGCCGTCACCGTGTTTCACGCCAGTCCCTAAATTAGAGAGACACACCATTTTTTTTTAATTAACGAAGAGCGAATAACAAAAAAAAAGATATAAAACGGTGTCTTTTGAAATTATATTTCCCATCAGGCGTGGGTTGATGGAGGATGACGCGGAGCCCATCTTTGAGGACGTGATGATGTCATCGCGGGGCCAGCTGGAGGACATGAACGAGGAGTTTGAGGACACGATGGTGATCGACCTGGTCAGTGACGTCACCTTCTCCCAACACATCTTTTAAATTCTGAATAATAAAGATCATTTTTTATTTTTTTGCTTTAATGTACATGTAAAGTATGTTTGCGTTTAAAACTGAAATGGTTTATATATTGTATAATTGTGACATGTGTGTGTTTCTCCATGGATTGAGCGTTTTTCATACTTTAACAGTATTTATATAGCACTTACACCTGATTTATAACAAAAATACATGAAAATTTCACTTTTTACAATATGGGACCTTTAATTAAACGTCTTAATATGTGATTTTGTCCGTCCCAGCCGCCATCGAGGAACAGACGGGAAAGAGCAGAATTGAGACCGGACTTCTTTGACTCTGCAGCGATGATCGAGGACGAGTCGGTAAGTAGATCTGAAACTATTATTCAATTAATTGACGAGCCAGTTGACACAAAATTAATCTCAGACTATCTTGATCACTTTTTAATTCTTTGCTTCCAGCCTCTAAAATGTGAACATTTGCTGTTTTGTTTGCTTCCTGCCGGGTTGAAGCTCAGATACTTTCTGCGTAACATTGTCTGACAGTCGCTCTCCTCTCCATCTCTCCAGGGATTCAGCATGCCCATGTTCTGATCTGGGAAGAAGTGAAGATCCTGAGATCATGATCCACATCAGGAGTTAAACAGAAGGCGGGTTTTGGGACATCTAACCCAGATAACCTGCCAATCAAACTCTTAAGAAGAAGAAAAAAACATTGTTGAAGTACTTTTCTCTTTCTACAAGACACGATGGACGGATGTCTGTTCAGCGGGTCTTCCGATGGATCCTGCATCAGCTGGAACTCACCGGGAAGCGTGAAACGAGAACGGGCTCTGTTCTTTCAGACCAGGCCGGAGGATCCAGAACATTCTCCAGAATCTAGTCCGGATTACTCAAGAGCTTCTCGTTGCTCTAAATCTTCCTCCTCCTCCTCCTCCTCCTCAGCCTGTTGGTTTGGCTCTTGTTAGCGGTAGCTCTGACGGCGCTCTGGCTCAGTAATCCTGCTGCCGGCCGATGAGGACTCGCAGTTTTTACGGTTCCCCGTTACACAGATGTACAGTTGTTTGGTGAGCAGCGTAACACTCTGTAGCCCCCCCCGCGCCCGCCCTTCTTTTGGTGTCACACTTCGATCCGTCTAGTTAAATCCAACGTAGAGAGGATCTCAATACTAAGTGTTCTATATCTTTGCTCTTATTACCACCCACCGACCCCACTCCTCTCTCTGTTCACCATCTGAGTCCTTGTATGTGGTGGTGCTGGTGCTGGTGTGTGTGTGTGTGTGTGTGTGTGTGTAAAGTGATGGTGGTTGAGTAGTCGCACATGCACACGGAGGTCGACAGCTGTTGACTGACCTGGCGGGAGTGATGCAACCGGCAAAGCAACCAACCTCTGACAGAGGCCTCCACCTTCTCACATCTCGTAAACATTCTGCACACACGCACACACGAGTAAGTTTTGAAGTTAAAAACGTTTTAAAAAAAAAAAGACAATAAACATATTTTGAATTCTGTAGCTTTAGTACTAAAGTTTTAAATCAAGTGTGTTTTTGTTTTTGTCTGATGTTTGTACAGCTTTTTCTTGAATATGTATCTCGTTTGTTGCCAAATTGTGGCCTACATACTTACAGTATATTCCAGCCCCTCCCCCTCCACCTGTAATTCATATCTAATGGTGACCCAGCTCAGATTGTTGCTGTGGGACGCCAGTTTTTAAGCGCTGTAGGGTCCGATTGTAATGGTTTCACAGTTCAGTATTACAGCAGCATATGTTTCTACAGGTCAAATCGAGTTACGTTTTTACACCCGCCTTCAGTGTTAACTGATCCAAGAAGTTTAAGATTTGTTGTTATCATTGTTCAAAGTGGTGGATTTCTATGTCTGACAGATTTGTTTGAATGTGTTTTGAATGTTTCCCGCCATATCGTTGTTCCCCCTCCGTCGGTTAATCAATCATTTACCTTTACCTCCTGTACATATCAGAGACAATTGGATCTTTTCTGCAGTGCAGTTGACATCAGTTGCCCTAAAATGCTCTAAAAGCCTGTTTTTGTTTTTTTCTGTGAACCTAAATTCTTTTTAATAAAATAAAATCTGTAATCGATTATTGGACCCGTGTTTGTGTTTAGTGCTCGACGGGTCATTTTTGACCAAACGATCTCAACTCAAGGTTCACGCGCTCGCTTGTTCTGCCGCTGTCAGCGTTCTCACGCGATGCTCAGCTGCCATTGGAACTTTCGATGTTCGTACTTACCATGATATTCTGAACTTCTCTCATCCCCGTTGAGTTTGACAGTTCCCTAGGTTACCAGATATCATTGTAAGAGATTAGTAAAGCTTATCTTTCCCGTTGAAAGTGCAAAAGAATGGCGGCAGGACGTTTCAAGTGCAGTTTGAAACGTAAAAATGTATTCTGCCACTGAAGATAGCGAGGTCTGACAATTAACAAAACTATCTGCTTTTATCCTTAAACATTAAATCTAATACTATGGGAATTGCATTGGAAAAGTAGTCAGTAAGAAAACACTTGGTATTGAGTCCATGATTTATTTTACAAATGGCAGTCAGCCAGAGAGGAAAGGCACTGTGTCAGGATGACTTCTTGACCTAAATGGAACACAGGGAGTGCACCTGAAAGTGCTCACTAATGTACACACCCCAAACCTCGATTAAATACAGTACATACGACTTAGGAAACACCGTACGTGGACAACATGTTTGCATTTCCACTAATACCACCATGTTGACAGCTGGTTGCCCGCGTTTTATCGGCGAAACGTAACCTACCCTTTCAGATACAATCTTGTTCTCAAAATGTCCTAAGTGTCAAAGTGACCAATATGGCCACTACTGACAGCAACTACCTCTCATGTGTGTCTTCACTATCATCCTCTTCAGGTGTGCATATCAGTGGCTGTACAGATAAATGTGCTGAGCTAGGGCTGCTTGAGCGGTGCATGACTAGACAAACAACCCAAATCGTCACGAGGTCACGCCGCAGTTCATTTGAATGCAGAGTCCGTGTCAGAAGAAGTGCCTTTAGCCGGTGTTGGTGTGGTTCACAGAGGAATGTTGGCGTGTTTCTTCCAGGGGTTTATCTGCTTCTTGCTGGCCAGCACCTCCAGATCTCTGCAGATCCTCTTGCGAGTGGTCGACGGCTCGATTATGTCATCCACGAAACCTGAAACAAACAGTTGGCCGGTCACAAACGGAAGTGTATGATTTACTTTTTTTCGTGCTGTGAAGAAGTGAGAAAGTTCACCTCTGAGAGCAGCGGGGAAAGGGTTGGCGAACTTCTCGATGTATTCAGCCTCCGCCTCCGCCTGGTTCTCCTTTCCTCTGAAAATAATCTGAACGGCACCCTGAGAGAGACGGACCGTGCGTCATCGTTAGCGATCACTCAAAGTCGAAATATGATTTCAAATGGCTGTGGTGTGCTTCGCTGTCGACCTGCATGCACGCTATCGAATCAAACGAAGGAAAGAGAGAGAGATAGAGACAGACGAATAGAAAGAACTTGTGTGTTTGTACCTTGGCACCCATGACCGCGACCTCAGCAGTGGGCCAGGCGTAGTTCACGTCTCCTCTCAAGTGTTTGGAGCTCATCACGTCATAGGCTCCTCCGTAAGCCTGGGGGGGGACACAAACCCAGTCCACAGTGAACGTTTATTCTGACTTAATTAAGACTGATCACCACGCTGCTTTTAATGCAAACTCAGCCCCGAGTACAGCTACTCCAGTCTTCCAGTAAAGAGATTTAGAATGTCTTCTACTGTGAAGGTTCACACACACACACACACACACCTTTCTGGTGATGATCGTTATTTTCGGGACAGTGGCTTCTGCAAAGGCATACAACAGCTTGGCTCCATGTCTGATGATGCCTCCATACTCCTGAGCGGTACCTGTTGACAACCATCACAGCATTAAACATCTTTGAATGCAGCCAGTGTACAGTATATATATGCACTGTGAGAAGTTTAAAAACAATACCTGGCAGGAAGCCTGGCACATCCACAAAGGTGATGATGGGAATGTTGAAAGCGTCGCAGAAGCGTACAAAGCGAGCTCCCTTCACTGAGGAGTTGATGTCCAAACAACCTGATGAACAACACAGATATGATTTAAAAAGGGAAAAATACAGAATGACCTAACGCTGATAAGCTATCCCTTCTCTCTTACGTTTGGCCCTTCAGTTAGTTTACTCACCAGAAGCCACTTTGGGCTGGTTACCCACAATGCCTACGGTGCGGCCGTTCATGCGGGCAAAGCCCACCACGATGTTCTTGGCGTAGTTGGGCATGATCTCAAAGAAGTCGCTCTCGTCCGCTACCTGAACAGATGCATTAAGAGAGGAAACCATTAGCACTCGCAGAGATTAAATAAGACACTTTAGAGTTTGTGCACTTACTGCTTTAACGATGTCCAACATGTCGTAGGCTTTAGTCGTCTCGAACGGCACAATGGTGTCCAATGAGTGTACCATACGATCGCTGAAAGCAAAAAAAAGGGATGACGTGAGTTGAAAAAAACAAAGATATTCTGCCATTAATAATTATTGTTTTTGGTGAACGCTTACCTGCTGTCTTGGCACTCCCTGATAGGAGCAGCATCCTGATTGCTCAGTGGCAGGAAGTTGAAGAACTCTCGCACGTTGAGCAAGGCTTCGACATCATCCTCGAAAGCGTGGTGAGCCACTCCTGAGAACAAGACGTCAGACATTTTTTTAGACCCCCCAAAGACAAGAATTCCCTTTAGGTTGAGATGTTGTGTTAAACGGCAGCCTCAATGGAAAACAAGTGACACAAGCTTTTACATGCACACTAACCAGACACGGTGGTGTGTGTTTTGGCTCCACCGAGCTCCTCTTGAGTCACATCTTCGTTGGTGACAGACTTCACAACATCGGGTCCTGTGATGAACAGGTATGACGTGTCCTACACACACAGACAGAGGTATTAGGCTAATGTAAGTGGGAATACAATCCTAGAAGGATAACTGCATAATTCATTATGTAGCACTATACTGCAACTTTTGCATGCACAATTAGCAGAATGTTGACATTTTAGAAACACTGAAACGTTTGACTTCGGATGTCTGCTGTGGCTAAAAATCAATAAAATGTGGATTATTAGATCATTACTAATTCTAGTGTTTAAAGCTGTATTTGTGCCGCTCCCTACTTTAACCATGAAGGTGAAATCCGTGAGGGCCGGGGAGTAGACGGCTCCTCCTGCACAGGGGCCCATGATGAGGGAGATCTGAGGGACGACTCCTGAAGCCATCACGTTCCTCTGGAAGAAGGAGAAGGTTTGGTTTTCACTCTTTCATCCAGAGTGTCTGACTGACCCGATACCTCCGGCCGAGAGAGTTTCAGAATGTTAACATTTTGAATATGTTGAGAGCAGATTTTAGTCAGTGAGCAGTAACATACCAGGAAGATATCTGCATATCCAGCCAGAGACTCCACTCCCTCCTGGATCCGAGCTCCTCCGGAGTCGTTCAGCCCGATGACCGGGGCTCCAACCATCATGGCCTGGTCCATAATCTGAGTGCAGAACATTTAAACGTTGTACATCCATCCTCTCATTGTTGACAAGGAATAACAGTTTTTCTTCTATTTAGCTTATATTGCTATGTAGCTGCTGTTACCTTACAAATCTTCTGTGCGTGAGCTCCAGACAGACTGCCACCGAACACTGTGAAGTCCTGAGGGAAGAATATTAAACATGTAACGCCAAGCTGCTTTGTATTGCTGCGGCCGGTAGCACCCATTGAATTTCACTACATTTCTGTCTTTATTTGTTGTGTTTATCACTAATGATCATGGTGCTTGGTGCTCAAACACAGTCAAAGTTGATGGACAATGTTAATGTGAAGATGCCGCCCATATCATCCGCCCAGAGAATTGTTTTTTATGCTGCCATTGATGCAAATAAATAAAAAAAGTGCACAACAGGAATGTAATGGATATAACTGAATTTCGTTGTGCATCCCTGTGTTGCATAATGATCCTTGAATCCCTTTACTTTAGTTCCACGTCGTACCTGACTGAACACATAAACCAGCCGGCCATTGATCCGTCCTCGGCCTGTCACGACGCTGTCGCCCGGGAACTGTGACAGAGAGAGACAAAGATGTTATGAGATTTAAGTATTTGAAACCCCAGTGGAAGAACGAGTCTCTTGCTTCCAGTGGATCCAGTTGTGGTCTGCGTGCCGGCTGGTACCTTGTTCCTGTCCTGCTCCATGCCGAAGTCAGAGCAGCGATGCTCCACGAACATGTCCGACTCCACGAAGGACCCGGGGTCCAGCAGAAGGTCCACTCGCTCCCTGGCTGTCAACTTACCCTGCAACACAAAACACCACGTTACCACACAGACAACACTACAGGTGAGCACACTACAGGTGAGTGTTACAACAAATACCTACACACATGTGTGGCCAGTGTTTATCATTTAGAGGGCTGCTTGCAATATGGACTTTTTCTATGATTTGTCAAATATTTAACTTGCTGGATTAGCCCAAAGAAACATGCCATTTTTAACCCTAAATACTTTCTGAAATATGATTACATTACATGCATATACAGAGTTTTTATCATGATCACTTCCTTCTAGTTACATGTTGTGCCTTACTGTAATAATTAACCCGAGCAAGGTAAGAAAGTTAGTTTTTAAAGGTCATTTAAAAACCTCCAGCAGCAACCACTGACTTTGAGACAAGCATTTGACGACAACAACTCCACCCTGTATCGTTTTGAAGCTTTAATAACATGCTAGCTTACATGTTGGCTAACACGAATAGAAGAAATACTATGTCGCTTTTACCTTTTTGTGTTGTGCATCTATTCTCTGCTGACCTCCCCCGCACAGCGCCATCTTCCGTTTCTCGTCAATCCTCTCCTTCACGCTCAAGTGGCTGACAGAATTCCAGCGGCAGTTCGCCGGCGGCATTGCGGCAGCGACTGCGCCATATTTCCCGGGCGCCAGACTCCTGAAAGACGTCCTCAGCCCGTTTATCAGTCCGCCGCTTCTTCGGGCCAGAGTGAAGGCCGCCATCTTTGCCTGACGCGTGTGTGTGTGTTCTCGGGAGAGCGAGACTACAGGCTCGTTCGAGATGAGCTGCGTCTCGCCTGGGAAGTGGACGAGAGCAGGCGGCAGCAGCGGAGGGGGGCGTTGATTACCGGGAACGAGCTTTCACAGCCAATAAGAAAGGAGGATTGCGTACCACATGTAGATGGGCGGGACCTGGAAGGGATCATTTCCTGGAACTTCCTTTACGTAAAGGCCCAATCCCAATGTCCCTCCCAAAGCCTTAAACCCTCACAAGATGAGAGGTCATTTCAAATAATATATTTACTCATTCTGTCAAAACAGCTTCAATGACTAAATTCAATATTTGATGAATAAATAAATAAATATCCTCTGATTTTATGTTTTTTTTAACCCTTAATGTTTCTGAGTAAATGTGACGACATGCTGAACACACGTGAGCCGTCCTCTTTGTTTACCTTTTTTTTTTACGTCTCCATGCGTTCAGCGGTAACCCCGTGTTTAACGTCACATTGCAATGAATTGTGGGTTAATGCCCTTGGGCAAAGTCTGCATCTAATTTATGGAAAGTGTTCATAAAGGGCTCAAAATGTCTGCGAGTGAGCCCTCAAACACTCGATGATCTGACAGTGCCTTAAACCCTCACGTGAGTGTTGAGATTTGGGCCCCAATGAGGGTCTCTGGCATACATTTTAAGCTCGTTATGAACCCTCTCCATAAATCCAAATTTCTGCAGATTCAGCCCAAGGGAATTACTTACAATTCATAGCATTGTGTCAGTTAAACGCGGGGTTACAAGTGGAAGCATGGAGACGTAAAAGAAGACAAACAAAGAGGACGGCATGTGGGTGTTTAGCCTGGCAAATTACATTTCCTCCGAAATATTAAAGAGTTTAGATGGAACATAAAAAAACACATGAAATCAGAGGAATGGAAGCCGAGGTTATATGACAGAGATTTATTCATCAAACATTTAATTTTGTCATTAAAGCTGTTTTGACAAAAAAAAGAGTAAATAGATTTGGAAAGAGCCTGGCCATAATTTGCACCATTAAACATTAATGTAAGCCTCTTCACTTCTGATTTTCTCAATAATAGTAGCACCACAGTCACTGTCACCTTCAATTCGTTATTCAACTGTACAACTTTTGTTATTGATCGGGATGTTAAGAGACATGCAGTATCCATTAAAGTTATATATTATATCTATTCAGTCTTCTGAAATATAGCGTATGATTCAGTGCTGTTAAAGCCTTTAAAATATTTACAACATTAACTGGAACAAGAGCTGCCAAAAGCTGATGAAATGTGTATGTAGTTTCAATTTTATTTTATCCATTTTCTCACTTTCTTCTTGAAAGAATTAATGAATTGCTTCTTTTTTTGGCTAATTGTGTAAATGCAGAAGGTGCAGTAGAGTATGGAAGCCCATTTCAGACACTGAGAATACAATAAACAATAAAGGTCAGTCATTATAATGAGATACTATCAAAATAATGACTTAGCATCTCATGACTATGACTTACTATCTCGTAATTATGACTTAGCATCTCATAATTATGACTTGCCCTCACATAATTATGACTTAGTATCTCATAATTATTAGATACGTATCTCATTATTCTAAAATAATGACATAATTACTGTGTAAATGCAGAAGGTGCTGATGTGTGTACAGAGCATAGAGGAGCTCGCGAACCCTTCGAACACCACGGTAACCAGGGTAACTAGGAGAACTCTCGCGCGATGATCATGGCTGTGGAGAGGGGTTCGATGCGCGAGGAAAAGTGGAAAATCGAATGATTGATACATTTTGCAAAGCGGCTATTTAGCTATGTTTCGGTCGCTGCTCGCCAAGTATTATAGTACAACGTATCAGAATCGTAGGGTTTCGATTCACAGCTTGCATTTCCCTCCGACGCGTGAGGCATAAGGCGGACATTGGGGGGCTTAATGATACGGTTTCATTTTTCCGCTAGCTAATTTTGGCATGCCATGCTAACGCAAACTGGTTAGCTTTGTTTACATCAAGCGCGCGCCTGGGATATGTTAGCTCATTGCTAACCCAAACAAATGTATGAGCTTAAGAGCAGCCTTTCGTTCACTTGGGTATCGACAATGAGACGGGGCTAGATAGTAAATGGGCTCTATGGCTAACATTGAGCATCTCTCGTTTAAATCGTTTGGCTGATGTCGTAAGCTAACGGTAGCTGCGTAATGCTAACCTTTTGATTATGGATGGTCATTTGATCCACTGTTAGCTGTTAGACAGCATTGGTGGGGATGTGAGTAATTATAACCAAGGGTCTAATTGGTCCTCATCAATAGGAACTTGAATTGTGATCTCGTTGGTGAATAGTAGCTACCACGAACCGGTGATGCTAGCTCTAGCTAACGTTAGCTGCTGCAGAGCTAGCTAGCGTTGTGCGCGTTTATTGAGAACCGTTTCGGCATATTCGTTGTCTGTTATTGTGTCTATTATATATTCATGTGCCTGCACTGACACACTGGAGTGGCTGCTTGTTGCTCCACCAGGCCACCTTATATTTCCTCTATATACCCGGAGACCTGGCTATCTTTTAGCTCCGTCGCAGTGAGTGGCTGGATTTTTTTTTTTTCTTCTCCCGGGCCGTCTTTTCCCCGAGTCTGCGGAGTAACACTGCTATGAACCCCGTCAATGCAACCAATCTGTACGTGTCCGCCAGCCGGGCCGTGCTGCAGTGTGACCCGCGGCAGCCTCACAGCTTCGCAGAGATGTACAAGCTACTGCCCTTCTTCCGACAGTCCATTGCATGCCTTGTCTGTGGTAAGCATCCTGCAACACAATCAATGTATAACAGCGATACACATCATATTTTGTGTCACCTCATTGCAAGATTAGCATCTGTGTCGTGGCGCAAATTAGTCTAATTTTGCTGAAATGAATCAGTGTTTCATAACTATTCATATTGGCCGATGTGACGGTGGGCGTGCGTGTGTTCGCAGCAGTTGACACGATTTTGTCGCGCTCTCAGTGGTCTCCTTAGCAACTGAGGCTGAGCCCCAGTCATCTCCTCTTGTCAAGACAACAGATGACTCCTCTGTTGTTGTGTCTGCTGCAGAGCCATGTGTTTACTATTTAGGCTTCATTTGCTCACTTCGCTATGCTAGTTGACTATCAATCCTTGCGCAGCTTGCATTGAGGCTCCAATGATTGACAGAATGATATGTGACAATATGTCTGGCCTCTGATGATTATGTAATGCAGTGTTTTTCTTTCATAGATCATGATGTCGGTATTAAAGTTACTGATTTTCCTGAGCTGCTTGAAATGCATCAGTCGGTACTGAAACAATTTAGTTGATAAAAAAGGATTCGGCATATATTTTGAAATGTTGGTCAGACTAAACAAGCTATTTGACGAAGTCACCTTAGGCTGACGGGGAATGGGAATGACTTGTTGATTGTGCCATAGTTGCTGCACATAAGTGCAACAGAGCACCGACAAATGGATTAACTGCTCACTCTTGTTTTTGTCTCAGGTAAACTGCTCCAGGATCCCATTTCCCCAACACATGCAGAGTGTCAGCATTACGTCTGCTTGGGCTGTAAAGGCCAGAAGATGCAGATAAGGCCGCCGTGCAGCCGCTGTAAGGATTACTCCTGCTTCCAGGAGAACAAACAGCTCTCGTTGCTGGTGCAATGTTACAGGAAGCTCTGTCTCTATGTCACTCATTCGCCGTTGCTGCAGTCGATCAGCGGCCATGTGGGAGGGTCTCCAGAGGTTATGGCCCTGCTAGACGAGGTGCTAATGTCACATGAAGATGAGATAGAGACAGAAGACCCGAGCCTAGCACAGGAAAATGTGAATCCATCTGCCCCAAAGTCCCTCACCCCCACAGAGGCACCACCTGCTCCTGCAGAGCTGTCGGCTATACCCCAGAGCTCCTCCTCGGACCCTCCTCGTTCCAATGGACCGCAGGAATGCAACGGAGAGGTGCTGGAGGACCATGATCCTTCTTCTCCTGAGCTGGAAGTATGCGAGCTGGTAGAGGAGCAGCCACAGGCAGACCTGTCTGTGTCCAGTACTGGCTGTGGTGGTCTGGAACTGAGTCTGACCACTGGACCTTTAGCCCCAACTCCAGGCACTGTGTGCTCACTCAGGGATGGGGAATCTGGCAGCAGGGAGCTGGAGGAGGGGGAGGTGTTGCTTCTCAGTGTGGAGGAGGTGTTACAGACTTTGGATCCCCTTCAACCCGGTCGAGATTCTCCTTATACGCAGCCAGAACGTATGCACACTCACACACACACAACCACGGACAGAGCACACGCTCCAATGTACATACAGCTAGACGCAGCTCACAATTACACACAGATTCAAACAGACAGGACTAACACAGTGGCAAGTCACGGTGCTCACATACACACATCTTCTTTCGATCCTCCTCCGACCTCCAAGCCCCCGCCGGTCCGCCTTAAACGAAAACGTTCTCGTTCAGAGAGCGATAGGGAGAAGGTGAAACCTCTCCCTATCGCCTCCATCCTACAGGGCCCCTCCTCACATCTACACACTCCAAACCCTTCTCAGACACTGTACATGCAACCACCTACACCCTCCTTAACTGTGCCGGCACACACATACTCGTCCCTTCCTAACGGGGCGCCCCCCAAGCTCAGTCGGCCTGCGCAGAACCACAATAAAGGTGCCAGAAAGCATGTTGATGCGGGCCCTAAGAAGCCCCATGCGAAGGTACGCAGCGGCGGAGGCTCCAAGACCAAGGACGGCAGCAAAGACCAGCGGTTGATGTCCGGCTGCCTCGTGCCGCCAGCGCCTGTTAGGCCTCCATATAAGAAGCCTGCGGAGAAGAAGGGCTGCAAGTGCGGCAGGGCTACCCAGAATCCATCTGTACTGACATGCAGGGGCCAACGCTGTCCCTGCTATTCAAACCGAAAGGTGAGAGTAGGTTTTGATGTCAATGTATTAAATATTACTATGAGGTAATGACCAGTCATTTTGCAGCTTGTATGCAACATTGATGTGATTCAATAACACTAATGTGCCTCGGCTATTTTTTGTCGTCGTCTTCCTCAGGCGTGCTTGGATTGTATCTGTCGAGGTTGCCAGAACTCCTACATGGCCAACGGGGAGAAGAAGCTAGAGGCCTTCGCTGTGCCAGAGAAAGCCTTGGAGCAGACGCGGCTCACACTCGGCATCAACCTCACCAGCATCACCGCGGCCGCTGCACTCCGCAACCCGGCAACCACCAGCATCCGCACTAACACCCTCCTCAATGTCGCCACAGTGACTGGGACCCCCGTGACTGCAACCTTTCTGTCCCCCAGCCCCCCACAAGAGCCCAGCTATGAGGACAGCCTGGAGCTGCTGATTGGATGAGAGGGCTGGGACTCCATAGACAAGACAGCTCGATGCTGATTGAATGTGACGGCTGATCATTGTATCTGTCGAGACAACCTGTACCTCCCCAACACCCGAGGGGAGGCAATAAGGCAGCTATGGGTCTGTCCTGTTCTGTAAACTGCTCTCCTTCTGTGTTGGAAAATGCTGAGTAGTAAGACTAGCATGGGTGTGCCAAAGCCTCCTGTATTGTGCCTGTGTGCCGGTGTGTATTGTTGCCTGTCTGTAGTGAAACAGTTATACTCGGTTCCAAGGCTGTTCTGTACTCCAGAGGTGCTTTTTCGTTCATAGCACCCAGACATACTATTAGAGGCAATAGGAACCCATACCAGAGTTTGTGTTTGTCAGTGTGTGTGTGCGCACCATTATAGATTTCAGAGTGCGCATGTGTGACTTTTTTTTTTTTTGGTGCGTAATAACAAAAACACGGCATCATCATATCTCGTCACCTGTCGCAGCATTTTCCATGTTTGAGTATTACTCCGTGTGTATTTTAAGGAATGCATCATAGGTATCAGGACGGCCCTTACTAATCCTTAATCCTCTGTGTTCACACCTTAATTGTGAATGAATCTTGTGACTAATCTATGGAGAAGTTATGTCCCACACAAGACTCTATGCCTTTTCTATCTCATTAACTCACTCAATCCGAGTACTGTTAGGCTGATAACGAATTTGTCTTAATGAACTTGACTGATGCAGGCATTGTACAGGCAGCGAGATAATGTCAAAGCACTTGGCTGGCTCCACAGTTTCTGTGCATGTAAGAGTGTGTGCGAGTGTGTGCGAGTGTGTGTATGTGCCTGCTGAGATTTACTGAAATTCAGTGGGGAGTCGGATGGTGGGTTGTAAGCACTTAGTCTGATTGGCCAAATCACAACATAGCAATAGTAGCACCAACAAGGAGCCTCCCAGCTCTCGTGCACACACGCAGTTGTTTACAGTATTGCCATTTATACAGACTATAACCGACTGTCTTCTAAAATATTACACCGTTATGGTTTGATTATGGGATTGTACATGACTGTGTGTTTAGATAAACTGAAGCCATAGATTGTCATTAACAAGACAAAATATCCTCTGCGTGTGCATTCCCCCCCCCCCCCCCCCCCCAGGTGTAGTGTCCCGACTGATTAGAGACCAACTCAGAGACTATTTTTGATACCAAGTGTTTGAGATTTGGTACCACTGTCTTTATTTGTGTTTTAGTTAAAGCACCTTGAAGCCCTCCTATAACTCGAGAGGCTGCGTATTGTCCGTGTTTGTGTTTACTGTAACTACAACATGTTTGTCAGTCCAGATGTGGTGACCAAAAAGAGACTGAAGGAGAGAGTGGGAGGACTCAGGCTGACCAAACAAACACCTTGGTTCTCGACTCAGACCAGGAAGTAGCCGGTGGATTACAGTATGATCAGCAAATATGATCTACCTTCCTGCGTGTGTGTATGTTTCAAGATGTATTTTTGTTTGGGCATTACTTGAACCCTGATTAGTTTTGGGTATTTTTTTTTTTTTTTTATGTACAAAAGCTCTTGTTTGAAGAGTGACCCTTATTATTGCTGAAACATTCACTGCCATAATATGGAAACATGTATTAAATGATAGTTTTTTACTTTTTCAGTATTGTGTCTTTGTCTAGAGGACATGTTTTGACTCAAGTTTTTTTTTTTGTGCAGACAGTGCACCACATATTCACCACAAGCTAGGAAGAAGCCCAAACATGGAAAACATATTTTTCCTGATAAGTGTTTCATACTGTAAATTGTCATTTCCTGTTTAATGATGAAACAAACCTAAAAACAACAAACCAGTACAGGTTAGTCATTTTACCTCGCCTACATTACACTACCCTTAAACATTCAGACCTAATAAAGAGATTTCTTCATTAAATCTGTATAATAATTAGAAAATATATATCGAACTTAAAAGGAATAGACCATCTTTATAGGTATCCATTGGATATAGAAGTGTGAATGTGTCACAAAACACTTTATACTGAGTCAGTGCTTCTCTGTGAGGCTGCATCGTGATCTGTCATGCACACATTCCTTCAAGACATTGCACAAAGGAAATTCAAAAGCACTGTAAGCCAAAAGGAAGCTTCACTTATAATACTGAACATTTAAAATCTTGTGGCATTTTTTGATACTTGTTTTTCATAAAAAGAAGTGTCCTGTGTCCAGCAGCACTGTCATTTCTTGTGGATGACAACTCAATCTATTCTCAATAGAAGTCATTCACACATGAGTACAACATTTAATCTGCATCTATTGTACTTGACCAAACGCCCAGTACTGTGAATGCAGCATGTAATCCATGTTTGCTCTGTCATGCGGTGCTTTCTGTGTACTAGCCTTGAAAAAAACTGAATTGAACTCCCGTGTCAGCTGGAGTAAATACACTTCTTCCAGCTTCTCTTCTTCTGCAGCTCCGCTTCATCATATTCTTACGCTCCCCGAAGAAGTCCTTTGCACCAGTCCATTCTTCTTCTCCAATCCTGTACCAGACAGCTGCTCAAATGATCAAGCCAACATTTGAGTCACTTCTGTTGATGTCTATATGAAGTCATCCCAGTCCCGGACTTTTCTACCCGGGAAGGTTTTCTCACTTTAGCCCACGAGAAAGGCCCCAAAGTAGCTTGCCCTCCCGTCCATCTCCATGGCGCTGGCATTGCTGACGGTGATGAAGAGGCGGTCGGCGGGCTGCAGAAAGGCAGTACCGGCCTGATGGAGGGAGAAGAGACCCGGCTCCTGACCCCGAGGCCAGCAGGCACTCCGGGAAGATTTCATCAGCAAGATGGGCACCGTGTAGGAACTCATCTGTGGGCCATACCACAAAAACAAGATCAAGAAATCTTCGGTCGACACATTGTTTTTCATTTTCAATCGGCTAATAGCATGCACAAAGCCTAACCTTCTTGTAGATATACTGGACAAGCTGTGCTTCTTCTTCCTCCGCCTCCGTCTCCCCCGTGGAGGGCAGTCTGAAGTAGGTCTGGCCGTAGATGTAGTAGAGGCCTGCTCGGGGCACCAGCAGCTCTCCTCCCCTCAGCTCCATGTTCTGCAGGAAGGACAGACCTCTCTGGCCCTCCCACACTCGGATTCGCTCCCCCAGGTAGCCCCTGCTGCTCTGCGGGCCTGCAACACACACACACACACACACACACACACACACACACACACACACACAAATTAAGGCCATTCACTATGATGCAATATCAGTTGAGATTTATAGAGTGTTGCGTTACAGAGTACAACCAGTCACTGATATTCAAATAAGAAACAAATGTTAAAGAAACTCAGTGTGTAAATAATGCTTACAGATGTGCACGCAGACCAGTGGCTTTTGAAAGATAATTGACCACAGCCACGTTTAAAAAGAAGGCTAAAACAGACGACATCCTGGGGTGTGTGTATGTGTGTGTAGATAGACACCTGACCATTCAGAAATATATATTTATGATTACAGTTTTTCTTATTGTCGACAAATGCCATGAAAATACCAGAACCAACAATGTGTTAGTCTGTCTTTTAATTATTTTGTGCCCATTACAGATGTGACTCTCTAAAAATGAGTCATCATATGCTTTCATTTAAAAAAAAGAAAAACGTCTTAAAAAAGGAGTAAATATAATTTACTTGCAATAATAAAAAAACATACAACATTACCAGACGTTTCCTTTAAAGCCAAAACGTGTAAAATTAGAAAGAACTTGACTTTTGGGTCCCCCAGTTGTCGCACTAAAACAGACAATGTGACAAACAGCAATGCATGCTACCTAATTGTATTTGGTAAGGTTTGTTTTACATATGGACAAAGAGAAATTGAGACATTGACTGGTCACAAACACAACGACAGGACATCGTGGAAGGATAAAGCAGCTGCACATCTGCAGGTCCTGACAAACACAGAGACGTTACTGAATCTGAGAGCAGCCTGAGAAGCCTTGGAGCACATTCCTCACCATTGGCCCACGAAAGGTTTGGGTGAGGCAACACAGTACTCAGAGGTGTGTGAGCATCCATCACAACAAAACCCAAGTCCTGTGTTCAAGATGTCCGTTATGCTTTCCAGGACTCTACTTGGTGTACGCACTGGATGTTTTCCTCCTGCGCTACATGAAAAAGGATCCTCACCGTCCGCTGTCGGAGGCTCTGTGGACGAAACGACGCCGGTCACATGGGCGGCAACTTTAGGAAGAGGGACCCCTCGGACCCCAGGACTCAGGAAAGGCAGCACTCCTGTCATCTTATCTGTGAAACCACAGGCAGATAAGAAACACAAACAAGGCATTTTTACTAGAAAAAGTCATACGTTACTCCTATTAACTGATCGTCAATGGAGGCATTGTTCTCACTTCTCATAGCAGTGGATATCTCCTTCTGGAATCTGTCAGCCATCGTCTGAAAGGAAAACACCCAGAGAGACAGAAAGAAAAAGAGAGTGAATGGGTGGCAAGGTCAAGCATCTTGACCCCTTCAGTCTTTATGCCTTTTTAGGTATCTTTAGATCATAAACATTCAGTAATTCACCAGGGGCCTTGTCAGCCCCATTAATCATTTAGTTCTCCCTCTGGGTCAACAAATACATCATCTGTTGACCTGTAATAGCAGTATTCCCCCGCGGGAGAGTCAAGTCAGTTATATTTATATAGCGCCGAATCAAAACACAACTTATCGCATGACACTTTCCATAAAGACCGGGTCAAGACTGTTCTCTTCAATTTACGGAGATCCAACATCTCCCCTTTAACGGGAAGAAACTTGGAGGAGAACCAGGCGCTGGGTGGGTGGCCATGTCCTTCGACCGGTTGGGTCACTAGTATTTAGAAGAGATGTAGAGTTGCATCATGTTTTTTCTGTTCCAATCAGGTGTCCGAGTAGCTGCATGTGATTTAGAAAGAAATCCAATATGTAGTGGAGACAGTTCTGGAAAGAATGACCACTGGTGTTTTAAAAAGGAACAGCGTGCAGGATTAAGAGGGGTCTACCGTAGTTCCCATGCTTGGCACACGGATGAAGTTCAGTCCACCGCTAGATGCCACCAAATACTACACACTGCACCTTTAAATGTAATGAAGGTTTCTCGCACATAGAATTTGGCAATCAGGGAACACAAATTGAAGACAGACTAGACCAAAAAAATGAATAAAATCAAAAACCTTCTCTATGTGGTAGTGGAGCTGTTGCGTAACTTGCCAGCAGGGATCGCTCTTCTTTTCCTCCGCTGAATCTTCATCCTCGGAGCGCAGATTTACGTTTATCAGACAGGACACGCTGCTGCGGGAGAAACTCTCCTGCATCTGTCCACATGTTAGAGGCAAGACAAACAATGCAACCTACCATTAGTTTCCTTATCTATTAATCACTTCATTATTTTCTGAATTAAATCAAGAAATATTTTATTTTCTATAACTTACATTTAAGACGCAAAAACAACAACTAAAGATACACAGTAGTGGTACAGGTGGATGCCAATTAGTGCATGCAATTAACTCGTAAGTGGTCACAGGTGTGTGTGTGTGTGTGTGTGTGAGAGTTGAGGTGGGCGTTTTTGCTGTGACTCAGCCAATCAGAGCTCAGCACCGGATCAGTCAGTTTTTTCTGCTTTTCAACGTGTCAAATCTGAAATAGGTTGCCTTTGGGTGTCACAACGATATCGTTTCCTGCCATTGTTTTATGTTATCTGCTCTCCCAACTTTCTCCTCTCTCATTGTGCAGCCGGCAGATATTCTTGCATGATCGGTACTTTTATTTATTTTTTTAATCTCATATAACCAAATCCAGCAAAGTTCAACCCCTGGAGGAACGGTGAAGTAGCAGATTTTTTAAGTTGAGAACGACCACTTCATGGCATCATTTCGGATACGATTTTACTAGACCTTCCTACAGCACCTACTTTTCAATTGTGAGTTCACGGTGATAGCCTAGTTCATACTTTAATTGTCTTATTCCTTTATTCGTATAGAGACCCTAACAATTGTGTCACTGGCATGGTATCCCTGTAAAAGTAACCAGTATACAGCTCTGTGTTGTAAGTAAAGTTGTCATCATTGGAACGTTGCCTAATATCCCCTTTCCCCTATAAGATGGCAGTCAGTCTGATGCTCTTATTATCTGTTAGATTAAGGGGGACGACGAACGCATATCTTACCGTGCTCAGGACCTTGTTGAAATACACAAAGCTGACGGCAACCGCGATGGTCTGCAGGAGGATCGCTGCGAGCATGATGAGCCCCAGACTCTGGAGAGAAAGAGAAACGGCCATATCGCAGCGTGCGTAATAGGCACCTAGACAAGTTCCGAGGAGCAAGAGACACTTCCAGCAGGGAGGACGAGTCAGATCAAGCTCTGCTGCATTTCTGCTCTGCACGGAGAGAGAGGAGGAGGGACGGAGAGGGAGGGAGGATGAACAGCCTCAAGATGTCACTGTTATTAAGGAGAAATGAGCTGTGAGTTTACTGTTGCACATGCAACTTCATGACGCCTTCAGGGGCCATCGGAAATGCGGAAACCTTTGAGTTAAGAGCTAATGTACAACCCAAACGAGATAATAGTAATTTGGACATGGATGTGTGTATGTATATGTGTATATCCATATATCCGTATGTGTATCATAACTACATCTGAGTTACATATTTAAATTATTTCAAGAATAATTTAAGAGTCCAAATTATTATTATTATTATTATTATTATCTCGTTTGGGTTGTACATTAGCTCTCACGGATGGACAATATGTGTTTCTGAATACTTTAAAGACATTTGCTTAATGTTTGCTTAAGAGTTGAGGTTTAAAGTTCATTATTAGAGTTATTAAAACAAATTGTGAGTGTTTTGAGCAGGTAGTAGTTGTGCACAGATAGAAGATTGGACTTCTGTCATGTGTAGAACACAACATTTTCTAATGGCGTGTAAAATCCTGTAGGCCTAGTTATGTGCAGCAGATGCTTGTTGAAGACAGCAGTTTGTTTTTTTTTCAATATTTGACATTGTTTACTCCTTTCTGTGGTGTCTTTGTTCAACTTCCCAACATCTGCCACAATTTGTAACGGGGTTCATTTATTTTCTTACATTAGATTACTTCCCGCCAGAAGGATTTCAATGCGGTGCAAATTCTTTTTTATGACTTTTTTAGGCAGCGTTAACCATCTTGGTTGAATGAGGCGTTCAGCGTGAGCGGGGAGGCTCTGGAAATGATCAGTGCTAAGAATTGTTGTGTTTTATCAAAATATTTGGCCTTTTGTGTCTTGCTCAACTTTGTATTCATAACAATTTTGACTGTTGCTAAAAAAGATAAAACAATGCCATGTTGGCATATGACCTAAAGCACTTGAGTGCAGATGTAAATAATCAGCATCTGAACAGTGAGATGAAAAAATGCTTCCCCCCCCCCCCCCCTCTCTTTCCTGCGATTGTGAAGTGATCTAAGTGAATGCTATTCAATCATGGTGCCAAATGACCCGCCATTGTGTATTCTTATGTGTAGGCCTAAGTAGCATTTGTCCCAGGGGAGTCATTCAATCTGCAGAGCTTAACCTCGAGTGATTCCTGCTGGTTCCTTTACTTTCATTCCTTCACCTCTCACCCCTGCTCCATTGTCGCTGTGAGGAAGTGAGAGTGGAGCTAAAAGGAATTCACAGCTCCTGGATGTGCACGACCCTCCCAACAATCAAACGGACCTGCGTTAAAGCACACCGGCTGCAGCCGTCATGTTCACACAGGGAGGTATAGCGCTATACCAGTTTGAACATAAGTATTTTCTTTGTTTCCTCTACTGATTAAAATCTCAAAGTGTGGAATGAGATGGTGATGAGAGGTTCCTGTGTTCCCTTAGGTGTGTCAATTCCCAGGCTTGTCAGAGAGAAGTGGGGAGAAGATGACTGATATCTGAAGACTTTCTGGCCTCGGGCAGGGAAGATGACACCCTGAGAGACATACCTGTCTACAGTCCCATGGCAAACAGACAAAGAGAGACAGAGAAAGATGATGAAAAACTATGTTCAAATATTTTTTCCTATCATGTTATTGTTATTTCTTCCTTTTAGAGCCAATCTGCCGGTGGCCTTTGACCTCTGTCATGTCCACGTGCAGCAAGCCCGGACTGGCTTTAATCCTCTGGTGTTTTAAAGCTTAAAGGAATAGTTTGACATTTGGGGAAATATGTTTATTTGCTTTCCATCCAAGGGTTAAATGAGAAGATTGACACTACTTATGTTTACTATATGAAAATACAGCCAGCAGCCATTTAGCTTAGCTTATCTTAAAGATGGGAAACGGGGAAACATCTAGCTCTGTGTAAAGGTAACAAAAGCAAACTACAAACTAACGCTGCATTGTTTCTTATGAATCCCTCCGGCGTGGGAATGGCGATTCGAATCAATCACTGGAATGAAAACTAATATGTAGAAGGGTAATTACAAAATATAATTACATTGAATAGCTATTGCTATTTATAAACATTAGAAGAGTTGTAACTTTAAAACCCTGGAAAAAAGCTGGAACAAATGTTGAGCAAATGGCTCCCTGTGAGGAACACGCAACAGTTCTGTGAAATTGTTAAACT